ATCTTGGTTAAATAACCACAGAAAGCCCATACACGAGCCCGAAATATATAGGGGACGCAGCCAAGGCAAATGAGACCCTTTACTTTATGTAAAGAAAACTTGGTGCTATCACTCCAGAATGATTCTCAACGTTATTTAAGGCATACGAGCATGCACAAATGGAGGTTCACAACGCCATCGCGCCCCTCTCCTTATCAGATTCATAAATCTCCTGGGTCAAGTGCAGAGACGAGAAACGAAATGGGTGGTAGGGTTGAGGAATAAACATTACGAAGATAGACTCTAGCACTCAGGATTATTCCCACTCAGTTACAGGAGGATCAGAGGTGATATAATCATAGTGTACAATATATTAAGCACTCGAAATCATTCGAATGTGAGCACCTTACTGATGCATCGCCACCACTCCCCTAGAGGCGATCCTCGAAAAATCGCACTTCAAAGAGAGAATACTCAGGTTCGTGTACACTTTTTCTCGTTAGGAGTCGGCGCAACTTGGAATGCTCTCCAAGCCGAGGTAACCACAGCCCCTTAAATGGACTGCTCTTAGAAGAGACTTGGTAATCTCGTACTCACATACGGATTGTCATCTTCCTCTTGGACAAGCTGTTCCTGATGCATATCTCGAGACCTGCTAGTTGTTATCATTGCCATCTCTCCAGATCACTCTATTAATCTATCTCGCCTATTTTCTCTGTTTCCTCTCCCTTGCTTACACTTTGGTCCTCTCTCACAATCTTCCCTAACAATTAATAAATTAAGTTATCCATTGATTTACTTAGTTCTGAAATCTTATTTATATTAGCATTAGAATTTTGTCCTTATTATTTTCCAAATTGCAACTAACTGATCTCAGGTCTGGTAATGTGATAGCTGTTGGTATCTAGAAACCTTACTGCTCTGAATCAAACGCTTCAATTCAAATCACGAGACATACAAACTCAAAACCAACTACCTAGAATTAAACAGTCGAGTGGCCAGACTTCCATTCATTAGACACTACCAAACATTTGAAACCGTACGAAAAGAAAAAGAGTCGAGAGCAAAGAAATCAATTAGTTTATACTGGCTCGCGAAAAAGATATTGGATATTGAGTTCAAGATTTCAAGATACGTAGTCAATAAGTAACGAGAATAAATATTTATGGAAAGGATGATTCTTAAAGACCGGATTGGTTGATAGTTCATAGGGGTGTCGGCCTTTTTCAGGATTAGAAAAAGCTTCTTCTGTAGCGCCTCCTTTAATCAAGTATCCAAAACTAAGTTAAACCGGAAATAATGAACGAAGGAGACCAAAGGTGCATTTGGTAGACTATAAGTATTAACTATGGTGTACAATTTAAAGTGGCCAGTTGTTGTGAAGGGATGCCATGCCCAGCACATGAGTTTGATGGTCTTGCGTGGGTACGTGATCGGACGTCTTTGAACAACGTCATGAGGAAGTCCGTTTTAATGGTGACCGAGTAGAGATTGTCTATGATCACTGTTATACTAATCTCTAGTGTATGCTCAAACATTTTACGGGTTCACCTTAGTCGAATAACAAGAACAAAACAATGAACCAGCGTCCAGGTAGGCTAATGTGATCTCTTGACCAAATCGTACCAGAAGGAAGTCTTGATATAACGTATAAAGTGTATTCTACAAACACCTAGCCAGCATACATTGAATCCAAACACACAAATCTCGTTTATTTATACGCCGTAGAGACGGCCTTGGGAAAGTCACAAAAATAGCTTACTAAAACACACAGTAACCAATCACAGCCAAAGAGTCTCCTGGTGGGAAATGTGGTCTCAGGGTCAACTGATCGGCCCATGAAATAAATCCAAAATAATGATATTTATCAAGTGAGTTCTGGTGATCCCCAACAATCACGATTAAATATTCCATACTCTCCCGTCAAGAATTATAAAAATAAGTACATGGTCGAATATTTATTTGAAGGAGAAAGTAGGCAATACATAGAGAGCAGCGAGTTATGAAAAATGGCAACAGCGCAAAAAGAACGTTGCGCGCAAGTAAGCGTTTTTGGTACAGTTAAAGAAAACGAGTAGGGTAATAAATGTTTATTTTCCATCACAAAGTATTGAAAAGTTTGTGCAATTAACGTTACGGCATGATTCATAACAGCAGATGTTTCACGACGCAGTGTTTCCTCACCTGTCCCTATCTGTTCAACTCAGTTTCAAGGTTGTCAATAGTAATTCATGCTAAAGATCAGTATCCTCTTTTTGGAGGTGAGTGAATTCTAGAAATCTGACTTCCTGAAAACTTTTCGAAGAAGTGTTACGAGAGAAGGCGACTTGATCTATATTGCTTTCACTAAAAATAAGGTAGGTGTCTGAAGTAAACACCGAGATTTAATTCATTCGTCGGAACTTTCGCGGAGAGCAGTTATCTAAGGGTAAGATAGGATAAGAAGTAAGAGATTAATGATTGCTAAAATGAGTGAACACTCGCCATCCCATTGATTCGTAACAGTTAATATATGGATAGGAATCATCAGTCGAGAACAATGCTTAAGATTGTTGTGTCAATAAATTATTTTTACAGGATACCTCCAGTTGTTGAGATATAGTCGTAGAGAGAGGGAGACCTTATTCAGTTGCTGAGTATGAAGTTCTCTGTCTGGACTTGTAACACAGCACTCATCTAGTTGAGTTCAGCGTTAAACCAGTAAAAGAAAACTCCATAAGTATTAGCGTCGACTAATTTAGGTTTGCTTATTTCGATCAGTAGGATATGATGTTTTATCAGGCCATTGTCATTTAATGGCATTTACTCGTATGAAACGACGAATATCCGGTGAGTAGGTTCACGCAAACGCACATAAAGCTAAGCATATCTCTAAGAAATCGGCAACCAGTTTCCTGTTCTCAGCTGAGAACTGGATCTTGTGGATGATCACTAATATTCACAGGGGAAACAATCAGTTACGGACCAGTGAAAATCACCATATCGGTGATGTACAATAAACGGCAATATCCATCCTCTATGCATTTCGGAGGCGCAGTTTTATGAATAGTTTCCCGTGAAGAAGGGCTCCAGGTCAGGGAAACTGAAGGCTGTCCCGCGATTTCCGGGAGGTTTACAACAGCTTTTGCGCTGTTGGCACCAGTTAGGAATGACGGTCTTTCTGTGACCACCTCCGTTGGGGAGGTCCGGGCCTTCTGAATTCACGATGGAAGAATATAAATTATAGTATTAGAAAGGTCTGTAATTTCGTATTCTTTTGAATGGGGCTTTTCTATGACAGTGCAAACCTGAGTGCTGTGAAAGCTGGTGATCTTCAGGACAATATCGGCAGGTGTAGCCAATTCGTCTTGTGTTGCTTCGGAATAAAGCAACAATGGTTCATATCACTTGGGGAAGTTTATAGAGTTGGAGTTGTGTAAGGAAGGCTTTGTCAGAAATTCGTTGACCAACAACCTCCTTTATCAGTAGTGACTTGTGTTTACTGAGTTGTGTTGTAATTCGAAATCGTGGAATTGCTGGTCTAAGCTTTACAGATCGAGTAGGTACATTTATTTAGGGAGATACATTTTCCAGAGCGTCATAAGGTTTAGAAACATCACTAGTTAACATATCAGTCCCGATGTGCCTGCTGATGGCTTTCGGCATTACCTTCACTACTATGAAGAAACATGCACGTAGGTCCGTCAAGTTGTGCTTGTGAAAGTCAGATTTTGCATGGCAGTAGGCTTCGGTATTATCAGGCTCCATATATATCGTTGGATAGACTCACCCACTAATGTTTGGAACGCCAGATCGCACTAGGTTTGCCACTAAATATGATAGAGATATTCAGGGCTCGATAACGCTGTTATTCTTAAGATCTCTGTCGTCAATGTTCCAAAATCCAGTCAAACCAGAAATCAGGAGATTGATTTACACGATAGTCCGTAAGCATATAGTCTAGCTATAATGAGGAATACATGATACGATGTTGTAATTGGTGCGCATTCGATCGCGAAACCACAGTGGTAGTAAGTCCATTCAAAATAATGGGGTCAACATGAATGTCTAAGACTTACATAATGGTTCATTTAAGGGATTTATTCACAACTAATCGGATCCGATAAGATTTTTAAAAAAGTTGATTCTCCAATCGGAAAATTACGAATGACGACCAATGCGCTGAAATGTATGCTATCTAACAGAATTAGTTATGCCATGAAACACAACACAGCACTCAAACGTGATTTGGTGAGGATGCATGATCCTGCCTCTGAAGCTAGGTGCATGTACCCAAATACAAGCCAAGTCAGGAATGAGTAGGATGGGAAGTATATTTGAGTGATGGTTGGGATGTTGAAAGAGCTGACCTTGCTGTTTGACGTGTTGCACTAACCTTGTGCGACCGAGTACCTTCAGCTAAAGTAATGAGGTCATCATCAATGTCAGAGACTTACGAAACTAGTCGTTTTGGGAATTCATTCACCGCTACAAAGCTTGAATACCTCGCAGGCAAAAGAAACGAATTCGTTTGAGCAAACCTCAGAGCAGTGGAAACCATAACATACTAGTGGTAATAAGAAGCATTAGACATAAAGGACAATTATCCAAACTATTTCCTGGTGGTTTGAAATTATACCTTAAAACACTCATCCTTTCCCTCTTTTATTCTATGCGTGCATGCACATCAAAACGCAACCCCCACTGCAGATTTAATTTTAAAAACTGATTCACTAAGTTTGCTTGTCAACCAGCATTTCCAGCTGGGTTATATGGTGTATGCTATTGGCAGATAACTAACCCAAACAAATAGCTTTAGAAACGTGAATTGTATGCCACCTAACTTTAGATGGAAAACATCCTAGTCATGTATCTACTGAGGCTACCTAATATAACTCAGTGGGATTTGCTGATTTCTAATAAAACTTCCCAGAGCGACTAGTTAGTCTAGAAGTTGATGTCTTATTGCTGTTGTCAGATTACAGAATAGTCATTTGAATTCCGTAACTTTTCATCACCTAAATTTACCATAAAATATGAAGGCGAAATCGACTTTACTGGACATTAGAACAGCAAATCGTATACGTTTACAAGAACTGTACAATTTAATAGTATTTAAGTTGAATAAATGCGTACATGACAAACAAATTTAGAAAATAAAAAGATGAGAGAAAACACGTAGTTAGACGCCAAACAAATAATGAACACAAGATATCATAAGCATAACATTTATGTAAATTACGGGGAATTATTTGTATAAAAGGAAACGGGCACAAAGAGGCATTTACAAAAATTTCTAAGAGTAAATAGTGTAACATAAGCCCAGTCAATTAGCGATTCGCTCTGGTTCTATTAAGCCATTGGTTTTTTTGGATAAATCAACTTCCATTTTTTCCACAAAATCGTTTTTAGACTCGGAACGCTAAAATAAGAAAGGATTAATATAAGGACATGAAGAACGTAAATTGAATTTGATAGTCAGGTTTTAATGTTACTCATAGATATAAGCTAAAAACTTTTATCTTACAACTTACGATTTACATGACTTTTAATTATACATGAAAATAGGTGTTCACTCTTATCGGAAACACTAATATTGTTTGTAAGGAAATCTTTGAGTGAAAGGTCGTCTGGGGGATTCGATTAATAATTGACTTTCGTCAGCAAATGTCGCGCCACAGCTCAAATAACCAAATGCATATCCGCAACCAAAATGAAATATGAATCTGTATTGCTATATACGAATCTGAGTGACCAGCCAGTGACCAAAATTATTAGCATTTATAATATGAATGAGATGACTTCTCATAAACCAAAAAAGATACGAGCTCGTCGAACCAAATTATTACCTCCAGAAACCTTACTAATGCGACTAACACTATCAGGTGTCAAATATACACAGCAACTGAAACATTGTCTAGTTGACTTTACAACGATATAAGGTAAAACATAAAATGAAGGAAAATCTACTGTAGAATATGATCAGTGAATAATCAATCACCCTAACTTCTGCAGCACATACTTCAATTCTAGTCGCGAGTACATTTTATTCAGAGTATACACACAGACAAGCATAAAAACGGTGAAGATTAATTAACTCGCTTGATATCACATTTCATTAGCTAGAAGCTAGAATAAGCAGTTAGTAAAATACACCAAGTCTCAGCTGCAGCGTTGAATAAATAGTTTAGTCGGATCGTTTTATAGATATTCAGTTGGCAATGGAAACAAACGAATAGTTCCTGACAGTGGGGATAAGATCACATTAACCTGAAATCGAACTATAAGCCGCTTAATATCCTACCGTGTAAAGGAACGAGAAACAATCCACAATGACACGAATTCCAAAACGATAACATTTTAGTGTTGTGGAATTACCAAATATACAATACAAATCAAATAATCGATTTATGAAATATTGTAGACTGGTGTAGTCGGCTACAAAAAGCTGATTAAACGTTAGAATGGTTAGTTATGAAAAAATACAAACGAATATATGCTTAAAGGTCTGTACACATACAGCACACATAAAACTCTTACACCTAATGCGGTAATCAAGGATACTCTATACATGTTAGTTAGTGTCTCTGTTCCAAGCTATCACCACTAAAGTAGTTGTCCAATCTAGGATTACAGTCCTTAAGAAAACTGAAGAGGGAATAAAATCTTGATTACTACAATATGCTCTCCAAAATGAACTAGGCAAGTTAATACATGGATTGCAGTTGCTGATTGATAAAAAATATTTCTACCATATTTTCAATGACTTAGTCGAATAGGAAATTCGGTTAGAGACGAAATTATTTGAGTGTGTTCATAAAAGCGTCTCCTAATTTGATACTGGTGATAGCAATAGCGAAAACAGCAAGCCCTATCAAGCTAGCAACAGTATGAAGCAATCATTAGTAAGAAAAGTAAGGAAAATAACGAACTACCCTTTAAAATTGGTACAGAAATATTGATTTTCATTATGCTATCTAAACAGCCTAAAGTGTATGAAAGCATGAGACAGGTGGGACTCAATAAACAGGAATCAGTATATTTATCAGTGCGACTTAAAAATACTAATAAAAACGACGTCTATGTTAAAGTTCAACATATAACACTACTTATCTAATGAAAGGAACTACTCGACATGCATTCATCGTAGGATGACAGTTAACTAAGAAGCAGCATACGATGGAGGGGACCATAACTCATTTAAACATTATAAGGAATCACAGAAATCACTGATGACAAATCGATTTTACCTTGTCACTAGTAGAATCAGTTTTTTTAGACCCACTTGCGTCCTTACTGTTTGGTTTAGTGGTGGATGAACTAGCATCTTCATCTGTGCGTGCGCGTTTTGGTTGGTCTCTGTGATTTTGAACATCTCGTGAAGCTGATTTGCCTGACCGCAGTGTGGTACCTCCAAGGCCAGAACCTTCTTCTGGTTCGTCAAAAAATTCGTTATTAGGCATAATGGCTTTATCAGCAGCCATAATTGAAATCCTTTTGTCCGGATCAGCTAAATCTTTTGCAACAGCATCATTTTCGTCAAAATCGATGATATCGTCCGGAATATCTAACGGTCAAGTTATATGATAAAATCATGAAATTGATCGCTTGAGATATAATTTAAAGTTGCAGACAACCAATAAATATTGAGGCCAAACATGTTTATTAAACCAAAATGCTAATATGAAATTGTGAATCAGCCATGTGAATAAATCTGTCTTAAAGAAATTAGTGTTTCATAAAATTGTAAACTTAGTTTGCCGAGGAATACTCTTAAGTTTCTTTCTAAGATTCTATTGATCTGTTTTAAACCGAAAATTGTTTCTAGGTACTATGCATAAGATGTAATAACAATGCTGTTAATACTTCCACCAATGAACAGCAATCAACCTCATCACTACAAATAGTAACGGACGACAGTCAGTTGAACCTTATAAGTCAGATATTATTTAATAGTTAGACAAGGTCACAACGATGTTGTGGCTGTTTCAATATTACTACTACTTTAACCCTATTCAGTCCAAAGCACTGGACAGACAGTCAGATACAACGTAGAACTTCGTACGTGAGTACATCAGTTCAGGTTGCCATACCACATTAGCACAGAGACGCAATCATCATCATCATCATCCCATAGTAGAAGTATTACAAGTAGTGGAGATTTTATTCAAGAAATATAATTCAGTGAGATAAGTTTAGAAAGCGGAAGGTAGAAGTGATGACGAATTGAGATTAGAATTTCATCGAAAACAAATAATGGGTGCACTGCGACATTGCAAACAATTTCGAGCCATTTCATTTAAGTTCTCTAACCATCAGTTGCTATCGTCTCGCGGACCCCAACCTGTTAGTCTGCATCTAGTAACATGACTCAGTTCACTTTCCAGTAACCTCATGGATTTGTACTATGTTTCAGTTTGGCCGCCCCTAGATTTCTTCCAAACTACTCCTACACTACAAAACAGCTCGTCGAGGCAGTCGGTGGTTGGGCATTCGTAACACATGTACCAACCACCTCAACTGATGGTTTCAATACTTCATCTATTGATCTGCCATCCTTACCTAGTACTCGTTTCCTAACAACAGCATTGCTTACTCGGTTGTCCCAGGATACACAAGCAATGCGTCAGGGACACCCATGATCGAATACTGATAACCTACGAATATGTTCAACTCTTACCGACCATGTTTCACAGTCATATAGTAGAACGGAGTGAACTGCTGCGCAAACAGATATCTCGCCTACTCCATGAGCGATGCAAGTTGGCAAAAGCCAGTCGAGCCTTCTGTATCCGTGTTGAGGTCTCGTCACACAACAGACCATCAGCGCTGATTAGACTCCCGAGGTAAGTGAAGTGGTCGACATACTTAACTACTTCACTCCCTAACAGTAGTTCAGGTGCCGACGCAACCCAATTCCATAGTAACATTTTGCATTTCGAGGGAGGAAACCGCTTCGCGAATATACTTGCATTGTTACTTAGGGTAGTGAGAAGACTGCATTTTGTCAGCGTTCAAAACGTTAGACCTCACTTGTTAGCCCAGACTCAGTCAACTAGTCAGATTTCAAATTACTGAGAATTTGATATTTCAGAGCGCCTTAAAATAAACTGGGAAGTGTATTTAGTATGTAGCAACAGTTAAGCACAAGACGTACCTTGCATTTGAACACTAGGACAGTGAGGTATCATCCGTAGATTTTCAAACAGTTTTGTCTTTATATGTTCAAGATATTCACTAGTATTCTGATTAGCCATATTGCTCGGACTTATATGAAGCTTGAAATCAGGACCGAAATACTCATAATAATCATTGTAAGGTAAATCATTGGGAATCTCTGTTGCAAGGGCAATAGATGTTTCATTAGTCCAGCATCTAGCAACATTTCGGATTGTGTAACCACCACCTGGGGCAAAAAAATGAAATAACAATAACGCAGTAACTGAAGTATGATATGATATGAATATGTATCGATGACAAAATATAGAGAAACGAGCTGTCAATATAGTTTTTGTTTGGAGGATGTCAATCAATATGTATACTAAAATAATTATTACAGTTGCAACAATAGAAGTTAAAGAACACTAAAAAACTTCATCATATGCAGAGAAATGTGAATAAAGGATAGCAAAAGTAAACCGATACAAACCTCCAACAAGTAGAAGTGGTAAAGGAAACGAGCGAATGAACTCAACGCATTTCCCGTGACCTTTCAAACTTAAGTTGAAACATCCAAGTCGGTCACCACATAATGAGTCAGCACCACACTGTAAGACGACGGCTCCAGGTCGGAAAGTTTCCATAACCTAGACTATATTACAAGATAAACAAGGAAACATACCTTTGTTACAACAGGCTTAAAGATACGCTCGTAGCAATCATCATCCATACCATCTCTGAGTGGACAATTGACAGCATAATATTTACCACGACCAGCACCAATATCTTTTAGATCACCAGTTCCAGGGAAGTACTCGCCGTACTTGTGGAAACTGACAGTCATCACTCTATCAGTTGTATAAAAAGCTTCCTGTTTGATTAAACATAGTTAAGAGTTTTACTTACTTCAACACCATCTCCATGATGAATATCAATATCCACGTAAAGAACTCTTTGATGATATTTCAGAAGTTCTAAAATGCCTATTACAATGTCATTGATATAACAGAATCCTGACGCCTCAGATTTTTTTGCATGGTGGAGGCCACCTCCCCAGTTGATGGCGATGTCAGTCTGTTGTTTATTTAGTTTAACAGCTGCAGCAATAGAACCACCAGCTGATAACTGACAGAATTCGAAAAGTCCGTCAAAGACTGGACAGTCTTCGCCAACATTGAAACGTTGCATTTGTTTGTTGAATTCATGCATATTGTCTGGTCTTACATTCTTCAAGAATTTGACATATTCGTCGCTATGAAATCTAGTCATATCTTCACTATATGCTTTAGACGGCCTGTAAACTTCCATTTTTCTGTATAAACCATAGTTTAGAAGAAGGTTGTGAGTCATCCTAATGCGATGTGGTTTCATGGGATGTCCTTGACCATAATAATAATTTCCAATGTCACCTGGAATTAGTTGATAGAACAAATATTACTAAATTACATGTTCTTTAAAAGATTGATTAGAAAAGCTTTACTGTTTAGATAAGAAATAAAGACAGCTTCTGGAAGTGAAAAGCCTAAGCTTTTCAAAAATAGCCAATGGATGCTTATAAAACGAAAAATTTCATGTCTGAATACGATTTAAAGACATAACTACAAATTTGATTGCTTAGAAATTTCTGACTAACACTCAAAGAAAAACAGTAAAAAGTAAGCTCAAAACTTATCTGATTTACATTCCTAAGAATATCTGCCATAGACGGACATAGTGAATAAGGAGACAGGTCGCTTTTAACAGAAATAAGTCGATGCAGCTGAACGACCGGTTGCAAAACTAAAGTTTACCTGTCTAAACAAAACAAGACCTCTTAGGGTTCTACTTAATGATAATAAAACTAAGAACAACTAGAAAAACAGTTAGGCAGCCATGTAACTGATTCCCATCCGGAGGCAGCCCGGAATGATATCAAAAAGGCTGTGGAAACAGCAGTGATATCTGCTTGTAAGGTAAACCATAAGGCTGGGAAGAAGCCTTGGATCTCAGAAGCATCAACCGAACTGATAGACGCTCGTAAACTCATCCCACCTGGCTCTGAACATGATGAAGAGCGAAGACAGCTTAAGCACAGGCTGACAAAAAGCGTACTCAATGATCACAAAGCGGTGGGTAGCGAAAGCAAAGGAGATGGAGAAGGCAACGGCGATAGGCAACAGTAGACTATTGTTCCGACTTATCAAGGAAACTAGTATTAGAAATCCATACGTTAGCCAAACTATATCACATAGGCTGATGATTCATTCTCAATCCAGGAGATTGGATCGTTGGGCAGAATCCGAAGCGAGGGAGGGCAGAGGGTCCTGATAGACTGACCGCTGAGATCTTTAAAGATAGTGCTCCAGCTTTAACAGTTAGATTAACTGAGATCTTAGGTAAAATTTGGGAACTGAGCGTAATCCCGTCTAACTGGTCTCAATCCCGTAAAATCAAAAATCTCGTGACCAACACAGAGGAATCAGTTTAACTAATAAAGTTTCTAAAATATTAGCTTTAACAATACTCCGACGCCTAACTAGAACTTGTGATGAGCAGACTGGAGAAAAGTAGGCTGATTTCCGACCTGCAGGTGGATGTATAGACCAGATATCCACACAACGTCAGGTCCTAGAAAATAGACAAGTTCAAACGGCTACCCACTCTCTCCATTCTTGTTTAGTTCTGTCAAAGACATGCTCCTAGATATAACATTATCTTCGCCAGAATTTTCAGGAGTAGTCCTTCTACCAGGAGATTCATCGGTTGACTAAGAAAATGCCAGTCACATAGTTCTACTTGGTGAATACACAGACAAAATGCAGTCTTCTCACTACCCTAAGTAACAATGCAAGTATATTCGCGAAGCGGTTTCCTCCCTCGAAATGCAAAATGTTACTATGGAATTGGGTTGCGTCGGCACCTGAACTACTGTTAGGGAGTGAAGTAGTTAAGTATGTCGACCACTTCACTTACCTCGGGAGTCTAATCAGCGCTGATGGTCTGTTGTGTGACGAGACCTCAACACGGATACAGAAGGCTCGACTGGCTTTTGCCAACTTGCATCGCTCATGGAGTAGGCGAGATATCTGTTTGCGCAGCAGTTCACTCCGTTCTACTATATGACTGTGAAACATGGTCGGTAAGAGTTGAACATATTCGTAGGTTATCAGTATTCGATCATGGGTGTCCCTGACGCATTGCTTGTGTATCCTGGGACAACCGAGTAAGCAATGCTGTTGTTAGGAAACGAGTACTAGGTAAGGATGGCAGATCAATAGATGAAGTATTGAAACCATCAGTTGAGGTGGTTGGTACATGTGTTACGAATGCCCAACCACCGACTGCCTCGACGAGCTGTTTTGTAGTGTAGGAGTAGTTTGGAAGAAATCTAGGGGCGGCCAAACTGAAACATAGTACAAATCCATGAGGTTACTGGAAAGTGAACTGAGTCATGTTACTAGATGCAGACTAACAGGTTGGGGTCCGCGAGACGATAGCAACTGATGGTTAGAGAACTTAAATGACATGTCTCGATTTGACTATATCAGCAATTTGTACCGGGATATATTGCAAATAAACTTATATATGATTATACGATTTCACACAATCATCAAATGGCACTAGATTAGGGATAACAGACTTGAACTATTAAGTTGTTGTCTAAAAAGTTATGAAATAATGCTGTCTGGATCTGTTGTCATACACGGTCAGATCATAGAATATAAGGTACAGGTGGTTCGTTTACTTAAACATGAGATTTGTTTGTATAAACGTTGATGGTTATCTATCGATTAACCAGAAATGATAACAGAATTTCAGAAGTTTATGTTGGAACGTTTGCTTTTACAATGAGTTGTTTTTCAGATACCGACTGTAGCCTGACTATATATAATGCTGTCAGAATAAACGTAAGATATGCCGCCACTGCTAAACAAATGTATCACTAATTGGAGTATAAATCTAACCACTGGAAACAGAGGAATTTGAGGATGGTGACAAAAGGAAACTTAATGACAGCTTACAATGGTGGTACAACTCTATGGGCATTCAAATATATTTTGGTCAGGTAAGATAGAGTACGCCTTTGACCAAATACATATTGTTTCATGACATACTTACCATCATAATAGTAGCAAACTTTTTTCGTGGCTGCTGATTCCATTTCACCCAACGGGGCAGATCAAACTACTCGTTAGCAAGCCCACAAGACCTAAGCGAAAAACCAGTGGGCGATTAAAACAAATGTGTATTAAATAATAGCTTGATATCCGAGATTATTAAATTTAATTACAATTAATAAAATTAATTTATCCCAATTAATTTCACCGCGTCATTTGAACTGGATTCGAAATGAATGTGACGATACATGAGCCATCCTAAGCTAGATTATCTTCGACAGTTCGTGAAACCTAATGATCCGAAGGAGGAATATAAGATACTTGCTCCAATCGGCAGTGGAACTTACGGAGATGTCTTTAAGGTTAGTGTAATAATTTAAAATATCAGTTTATTATCATCATTGATTTACACAGCTAATCTATTAGGTTGTTGCTTCACATCAGTCTCATTATTCTTATTGATAATATTGATAATATGATTGTAGTTGTCATAAAAATTATATTTCCAACTGAATATCTGTCTATTATCCAATATCTTTTTCACGATCTAGTATAAACCAATCGATTTCTTTGTTCTTATCCTTTCTGTACGATTCTATTTATTTGGTAGTGTTTAATGAAACTTAGTCTAACCAATTGATTGCTTTTATTATTGTCAATTGTCATTCCTTAATGAATTCGTATGTCCCGTTGTTTGCATGAGTGCGTTTGTTTCAGAGCAGTAGAGTTTTTGTATACCAGCAGCTATCACGTTACCAGGCCAGAGATCAGTTAGTTAAAATGTGAATGATGATAAAGATAAAAACTCTAATGCTAATAAGATCTCAGAACTAAATAAATTGATATATAAGTCAATTAATTGGTAAAAATTGTGTATGAGGACCAAAGTGTAAGCAAGTGAAAGAGCTATTGATCTGAGGAAATAACAATTATAACAACTGCGACTTTCAAGACATGCATGAAGCACAACTGATCCAAGAAGCAGATGATGATGCGTAAATGAGTATGGTTTCTTCTTGAAGCTCTCCGCTGAGGGGGAAGTGGTCACCTCAACTGGAAGAGGATTCCAAGCCGCCGCAACCCCTTATGAGGAAAGTTGTACGTCTCTGCAGTTGATCCAGAAGATTTATATATTTATATCTCTTGACTTTGTCAGTCAAACAGTCAGTTACAAAGTAGAACTTCATAAGTACATCAGTTCAGGTTGCCATACTGCATCAACACAGAGACGCAATCGTCAGTTCAAATCCCATCCTGCTAGAGATAGTAGAAGTACTAGCAGTAGTAGAGAAGACCGGTCTTCGAAGATATTCAAGAAGTATAATTCAATGAGATTAGTTTAGAAAAAGAAAGATAAAGGTGATGAGGAATTCAGAAGATTAGAATTTGAGAGAACACGATATCATGTTGTGAACTTCGAGGTGTGGGTGTGTGTATGTATGAAAGAATGTTCGAAATAATTATGGGGCGATTGCACCGAGTTGTCTTCGCTTAAAGTTAAGAGTCGCGTTAACCATGGATGAATTCCTTATATTATCCAAACTGGTGTCTAGGCTTCCAGTGGTTACTAGACCGATCTCGCGCTCTGAAGAGACATTATGGAGTAGACTTCCATTGAGAGTGTAAGTCGTTTGTATCACGTTGGACAGAATGTTCTTGACGTGACATTTCGACTGGTTTAGTTTTAAACTGATTTTTACTGCCCATTCCTCACTATATGTTAGGTCCTTTTGAAGCTCGGTTGAATCATCTTCGCTTCTAATGGACCTCCAAATCTTTGCATCGTCTGCATAGATCAGTAGCGCCAGGATACTTTTGTCTGACAAACGATTAGTGAATATCAGCAAGAGGAGTGAGTCTAAGATGGGCCCCCTGTGAAACGCCTGAGGTTGCGGCTTGCAAGCTCGCATGCACTTTATTTACCGTGGTGCAGAACTGCATGTTCTCAAGGTAGTTTCTAAGCCAAGATAGAAGCGGGTCAGTGAAGCCTATTTTCGCATTTAGGAGTGCGTGGGGTACTGTGTCGAAGGCTTTTGCGAAGTCAAGAAAAATTACGTGAGATGGTATTTTCCGGTCCTAGAAGGTCGTCCAGTTGTCTTATGCTATGAGAAGATTGGATGCACATGACCTTCCTTTCCAAAAGCCGTGTTGAGCTTCATGGGGGATTTTGTTCCTATCAATGTACTCCCTCATTTGCTCTAGTAGCAAACATTAGAGTTTTTTCTTGAAAGTAAACGGCTGAGCCGCTTCAGCAGTCATCAGATGTTAATGTAAAATCTTATACAACACTTTTATTCTCACCTTGAGAACTGTACTTTTAAAAGGTAATCATAAATGTATTTTTCCATGTGACGACTCCGAATGTGACGTGAATCTAATGGTGTCTTTCTTGTAAGTTTGTTATGGTTATAACCATGTCTTTGTTAAGCTCTAGAGCGTGCACTTACAGCAAAGTTCTCACTTAAAGTTCACTTAAAACAATAATAATAATTAGGAGCGCAACTTGATAGTTAGAACTAGAAATAAGAGCAGTTTCAAGAAAGTACTTATCATATACTGTAATTAGGTGTATGGTATCTGAATATCCCATTGCAAACTGGTTATTCATCCGACTACACATATATCTTGAACTGCGCACCTGTGTATCGATAACTTAACAATACTTATTTTTCACCGTTATGCATCATGTCAAATTACAATCTGCATAGTATAATAAGATGAAAATTATCAGAACTGTGTGATGTACTAGCACAGTACACTTGAAACAGTCTATTCACACATATACTTGAAAATAAATGGTCAACTAGACAAATGAAGTGTAAAGTTTAGAAAGAAAAGTGTGTGAAAAAAGTGAAACTCGCCATCCTTGATAATAACACAATTTTATTCGTTATGTTGCGTTAATATATCACATAGTTCTGATATTCTTCATCTTCTCATTATACTATCCACTTATCAATTTACTATCATTACTATCATTACTTTTGTAGTCCTACTATTTTATAAAGTTTTAAATCTCTATTCACAACCTTTTATCAGATATTTATGCACTTGTCTTCTGTTCTCCAGTTTTGGGTCTAAGCCAGATAATGTTTCAAGCTGTGGTTAGTATTTTAACTTACGTAGAAAGTTGAGCATTAGTGAATAATTGTAACTTATTGTCACTAACCGTATAAACTGAATCAATTGAATTAGGCAGTACCATAGACATATAAATCATTAGTACCCGTTACTTAGTGTCTCCAATGATAACCTTTATAGTAGTTAAAGCACTGGAAAACAACAAATTATTACCTTTTTCAGGATCCAGTTATCCGTCATTGTAACTCCAATTGGAGATTTGTAAGAGACTTCGTATTTCGCTTAACGTTACCTTAATGATTTAATACTTACTATTCCACTTCATCTTGACAATTATCCCTCAGTCACACATATCCTTCCTCATAATTTTTAAATTATACTTATCTTTTCGTTATTATAATTCATCTCATTACTGTTTTTCTGATTTCCAAATATATTTGACCCTCTATTATCTTGGTTGTGGACGTTATCACGTTCGTTCCGAATTATGTCTCAGTCCCATGTCAGTCAGTCATTTAGTTACGATGTAGAACTTCGTACATACGTGCGTCAGTTCAAGTTACCATACCACATTAGCACAGACGCAATCGTCAGTTCAAACCTCATAGTAGTAGAGAAAGTAAAAGTATTAGCGGTAATGTGGAATATTAGGATTCAAAGATATTATTCAGGAAGTATAATTCAGTGAGATAAGTTTAGAAAAAGAAAGATAAAGGTGATGAGCAATTAAGATTAGAATTTCGTAAAACACAAATAATGGATGCACTGCGCCATCGCAAACGGTTTTGAGCCATGTCATTCAAGTTCTCTAACCATCAGTTGCTATCGTCTCGCGGACCCCAACACATAGTGTCGACCGTCCTCATATAACCGCCTATTTCTAGTAAACACTAACTTTAAGTGAACCCTAAAGCCAATCTAACTAGATCACATCTCTATAAGCCATCGATGGAGAGGCTCTATTGAAAACTGTCGCTCGTTCTGTAGCACTTGCTTAGACTCAGACCATGTTTTAGTGCGAGCGCATGTTTGTTTGCGTCTCACTGGACGTAGGAAAAATACCGCAAGGAAACCTCTCAAGACTCTACTTAATGATAAAGCTAAGAATATATTTCAGGAGGAACTAGAAAAACAGTTAGGCAGCCATGTAACTGATTCCCATCCGGAGGCAGCCCGGAATGATATCAAAAAGGCTGTGGAAACAGCAGTGATATCTGCTTGTAAGGTAAACCATAAGGCTGGGAAGAAGCCTTGGATCTCAGAAGCATCAACCGAACTGATAGACGCTCGTAAACTCATCCCACCTGGCTCTGAACATGATGAAGAGCGAAGACAGCTTAGGCACAGGCTGATAAAAAGCGTACTCAATGATCACAGTCAGTCAGTTGCAACGTAAGAACTTCGTACGTATGTACATAAGTTCATGTTGCCATACCACATGAGCACAGAGACGCAAATGTCAAATCAAATCCCATATTGATAAAGATAGTAGAGGTATTAACGGTAATGAAGAAGACTAGGGTTTGAAGATATTATTCAAGAAGTATACTTCAGTGAGATAAGGTTAGAAAGACAAAGGTAGAGGTGCTGACGAATCCAGAAGATTAGGATTTGAGAGAGCACAACGAATGGATGCACTTGCGCCATCGTAAACGATTTTGAGCCATGTCGTTCAACGTCTCTAACCATTGGTGACTTTCCTCTCGCGGACCCTGACCAGGTAGTCTACATCTACCAACATGACTCAGTCCACTTGTTAGTGACTTCATGGATTTGTGCCATGTTTTGGTCTGGCCGCCCCTAGATTTCTTCCAACCTACTCCTACACCACAAAACAAAGCTCGTCGCGGCAGTCGGTGGTTGGGCATTCGTAACACATGTACCAACCACCTCAACTGATGGTTTCAATACTTCATCTATTGATCTGCCATCCTTACCTAGTACTCGTTTCCTAACGACAGCATTGTTTACTCGGTTGTCCCACGATATACGTGCAATGCTTCTAAGATATCTGTAATTGAATACCAGCAACCTACGAACATCTACTACTCTTAACGCCCATGTTTCGCATCCATATAGTAGAACGGAGCGAACTGCTGCGCAGTACACCCGTCCTTTGGTTAGCGAACGGTTATCTCGCCTACGACATAAACGGCATAAATTGTCAAAAGCAAATCGAGCCTTCTGTATCCGCGCTGAGATTTCGTCAGTCACCACGCTATCAGCGCTGATGAGACTCCCCAGATAAATGAAGAGATCAACACGCTCGACTACTGCTCTCCCTATCACTAGTTCAGGTGCCGATGCAACCCAGTCTTGAAGCAACATTTTGCATTTCGAGGGAGAAAACCGCATCCCGAACATGCATTGTTGCTTAGGATGGTCAGAAGACTGCATTTTGTCAGCGTCTTCACCAAGTAGAAGTGTCTTCGGCCTATTGTAGATCAGTAATCGATTTTCCTGGTAGAAGTTCAACCCCTGAAAAATCTGACGAGCTTAATGTTAACTCTAAGAGGATGTCTACGACAAAGTTAAACAAGAATGGATAGAGTGGACAGCCCTGGCGGACTCCACTTGATGTAGAGAATTCAGGTGACAGTTCGCCATAGGCTCTCACTCGACCAGTGGTGTTCGAGTAGAGAGCTTGTATAGGGTTAATGTTCTTCTTTGGTACACCTTTCAATGACAGACACTGCCACAGAACCTCACGATCCACAAAGTCAAATGCCGCCTTTAGGTCCAGGAACACAACAATTGTAGGACGTCTAAATGTGTGTCTGTGTTCCAGGACCTGTCGTAGTGTGAAGATGTGGTCTTTACAGCCACGTCCAGATCTAAAACTAACATGGTTTTCTCGAGTTTGTTCTTCACGAGCTTTTTTTAGGCGTCGGAGTATTATTAAGGCCAATATTTTAATTACTATATTAGTTAGACTTATTCCCCTGTGATTGTCACAAGAGGACTTTTGACCTTTCTTGTAGAATGGTACAATTAGCTACTGAGTCCAGTTGGATGGTATTACGTCCAGTTTCCAGATTCTACCTAAGACTTAAACATCTCAGAGGTAAGCCTATCAGGACCTGCTGCTCTACCTCCCTTTATATTTCCTTTAGCTTTCTCAACTTCATGTAGACAGGGAGGACTTAAATCGATTGGCCATTCAGGATGACTGGGGATCGTAGGTAACCGAAGAGTGGCTCGAGGCCAGTCGAACTGATCTCTAAAGTGTTCTGCCCATCGATCCAGTCTCCTGGATTGAAAATGGATAATAGTCCCATCATTTTCCGAAATAGTCTCACTTACACTAGGATTCCTATATCGGTTTCCTTGATAAGTCGGAAAAGTTGTCTACTGTTGCCGATCGCTGCTGCCTTTTCCATCGCGTTTTCTTTCGCCATCCACCACTGTTCACTGTCGTTGCGCAGGCTTTTAATCAGTCTGCGCCTAAGCTGACTTCGCTCTTCGTCATGTTCAGAGTCAGCTGGGATGCGTTCTCGAGCATCCATCAGTTCGGTGGATGCTACTGAATTCCACGGCTTCTCCCCAGCCTAATGGTTTACCTTACAAGCAGATATCACTGCTGTTTCCACAGCCTTTTTGATATCATTCCGGGCTGCCTCCGGATGGGAATCAGTTACATGGCTGCCTAACTGTTTTTCTAGTTCCTCCTGAAATATTTTCTTAGCTTGATTATGATTAAGTAAAGCCCTCAGAGGCTGCCTTACGGTGGCTTCCCTACGCCCAGTAAGCCTCAAACAAATACGCGCTCGTTCTAGGGCATGATCTGAATCTAAACATGTGCCCGAGAACGAGCGACCTACCTACTTGAGCAATAAAGTCACCAGCCATTATAACTATATCAGAGCGTTTAACTTTCTGGAGGAGGTCCGAAAGCTTTCTGTATAACTCATCTTTTACATCGTCTGAACTGCAGTCAGTGGGGCGTAGGCTGATATGACGAGTGTCTCCATCCTTTCGAATCCTTACTGTCCCGTTTAGTCGGACAGCGCACAAGCGGCTATCTACAGGGATCCAGTCAAGGAGAGATTGTTCTGCCCTACGACTCAATGCTATACGTACAGAGAGACCCCTGGAAGCAGCATCAGGGCTACCGGATACACGAAGGGTAAATCGAGTTGCTTCTTTATCTTGACATGGTGAGCTCAAGTGAATGATGCTACTCGGATCCTGTATACGCCTTTCCGATACGCAGCACACATCGACGGCGCGAGATTTCAAAGTCCTAGATGATGATGCCTGTTGCCCTATTTGACACAATGTCCGTACATTAAATGCTCCATCATGTAGTCTAGAGCGGAGTTTCAGGAGACCAGAAATGACGTTTCGTGAACTCGGATTGTTCGCATTAGCTGTGCAGTGTGATAAAGTAATGTGAGAAGAGTTAGTCGAGGAGATAAGAGAGGTATGTGTGGGTGTAGGAAGGATTCGATTTTGATCAATTTGGTCTCGTGTGTTGTTACTGGTATGAGGGCGGTTGTCACTTCCCGGCTGTCCACACCGTGGAAGGTTGTTTCTTGAGGGACTTGAAAAGGAAGGTAGATTAGTGTTGGTCCTAACGACCTGGGAGTGTGACCGCAAAGCCCATGGGACAACTACTTGTAGCTAGTCACGCACAGCCTTTATATGAGAAGTGTTTAAAATGTTAGCTCTACTCTTGTTTGAAAGCCCTTACCGCCAGCGATCGAAATCCGTGAGATAGGGTGAGGTGTGACATTTTTAAGGTAGACCTTTTCTAACTCCTTTCTTTGTTGTGAGAAGGCAGCATTTCTGCAAGTGCCGGTTGTCTGAGGGAAATACCTTACTGCTATCACACATCACAGTCTGCAGTAGGACTTCACCCTCAGACCTTGAGTAGTAGCTTTTAGTCTCATCGTTTCCTATTCAACCAGCCTGGCCTGTTAGGACCTACAGGAACATATTTCCCAGCCAATATATCTCAGTTGGATCATCACGATTGGCCGGCCCAACCACCACTTCAAGGTAGCAGCTACGGTTGGAGATCTGGTAGTTGAGCGTCTTCTGAATCCTTCATTCGATTTAACAACACTGTTCAGGTTTTTACTGGTATTGAGGGTAGATTGATGCCTCTGTAGTTCTCACACTTGCTAAGTTCTTTTTCAAAATCCGTCTGGAGACGTAGGGTTACTGCCGTCCTGAAACTCGAATAAATGCGGGGGGTTTGTGTATGTGTTTAGCAACTCCATCCAGTAGAAAACAAACTTGCTACAAAACGATTTTTTCGATACTATACCTTTCGAAATACTATATCTGGGATATTAATGCATAGATTAAGAATTTACAGGACCCTTGGTAAAGTAGTTTCACTTCATACCGCAATAATTATAATTCTTGCCTTATAGGAGCTTATTGTTTCAAGCATATTGTTCATTTAAAAAACTTGCAACTTTTCACTAATGGCGCATATCCATTCAGGCCTGCCAAAATGTCAAGTCGACTGTTTGGAATTTCGGCCGTTGCTACCTTAAGTTATTTTTTATTTTTTCATCTAACATATCGGTTACTGATTTATCCTGTTGTAGTCTAACAAGAAGCTTTCTTGTTACAATTTTTGTCAGTCAGTCAGTCAGTTGCAACGTAAGAACTTCGTACGTATGTACATAAGTTCATGTTGCCATACCACATGAGCACAGAGACGCAAATGTCAAATCAAATCCCATATTGATAAAGATAGTAGAGGTATTAATGGTAATGAAGAAGACTAGGGTTTGAAGATATTATTCAAGAAGTATACTTCAGTGAGATAAGGTTAGAAAGACAAAGGTAGAGGTGCTGACGAATCCAGAAGATTAGGATTTGAGAGAGCACAACGAATGGATGCACTTGCGCCATCGTAAACGATTTTGAGCCATGTCGTTCAACGTCTCTAACCATTGGTGACTTTCCTCTCGCGGACCCTGACCAGGTAGTCTACATCTACCAACATGACTCAGTCCACTTGTTAGTGACTTCATGGATTTGTGCCATGTTTTGGTCTGGCCGCCCCTAGATTTCTTCCAACCTACTCCTACACCACAAAACAAAGCTCGTCGCGGCAGTCGGTGGTTGGGCATTCGTAACACATGTACCAACCACCTCAACTGATGGTTTCAATACTTCATCTATTGATCTGCCATCCTTACCTAGTACTCGTTTCCTAACGACAGCATTGTTTACTCGGTTGTCCCACGATATACGTGCAATGCTTCTAAGACATCTATGATCGAAAACTAGTAACACAATTTTTGTACATTTTATTTTATTTTCGTTTGAATAATCACTTTATTTTTTTTAGGCAGTTCATCGTGAGAGGCGGACACTGGTGGCAGTTAAGGTTATGAAGATTGATTTAAAAGATGACATTCGATCCATTTGTCAAGAAATACACACCCTGAGAGAATGTCGGCATCCGAATATTGTGCAATTCTATGGTAGTTATCTTCGGTAATTTACATACATTTAGTAAATGTTAAAATTGATTTTTATTTTAAGGAACAATAAGTTATGGATTTGCATGGAATATTGCGGTGGACAATCAATGCAAGATATTTATCTCTGTATGAAAACAACAATTTATCATAAACTATTTTTATTTTTTGTGTAGACACTAGGCGTCCTTTAGAAGAGGACTGCATTGCATTTGTCTCCAGAGAGACTTTACAAGGCTTAGACTTTATGCACAATCGTGGACGTATTCATAGAGATATTAAAGTTTGTGTTTTGTCACTTTTTTGAACTGCGATTTCTATTTAGGGTGCTAATATTCTTCTGACAGATGATGGTCATGTTAAAGTGGGTATGTTTATTTTAATTGATTTATTTTCACCTTATTATTTTAATCTTATGAAATAGCTGATTTCGGTGTCGCTGCTCAACTGAGTACTTCAATTGCCAAACGAACTACCTTAATTGGAACACCGTACTGGTGGGTTCTATGGATTTCTTTACTTTTTTGAGAAATAATTCATAAAATTGTCATAAATTTCCCCTCAAAGTACACGTACATTTTTAAAAGGTAAATCATCAAATTATGAAATGTTTCCATCTTAATAATGAATTCTGTCGATTTAATAAATCACGGCTCAAAATCAGTGATAATGGAACAGATACGTTGATTCTTTTTCTCTCATTAGTCCTGAGTTCTAAAACTGTCCCATACTTTCCATTTTTCAATTTCACTTTTCATTCTTGAATCATTTTTTTTATGTCTAATGAACTGGTACTGGTACTGGTACAACCACTCTTACTACCTTAGCATTCGTCTTGAAAAATTCATCTGGTTGTGCAAATATGGTGTGACAACTTGAATAATTGCACATATATATCAGGTTTTCGTTGTTTATGACTTGACTGGTTAAGGTCTATACATAATATCCTTACCTACTGAATTTTAATATTAATTAAATTTTTTTACCAAACAGATACATGTGCTTTACTTTGAATCACATTTTTATTTTTAGTCCAGTGATGCGACCTAGCTAACCAAACTGAAATGAATAAAACAGCAGTCCCTGAAGCTAGTCTCAGTTGTCCTGCTTGTGTCCAATGCGTTTCACTGATGCCGAGCACTTCGAGGTTGTATCTTTTCATTTCTGCCGCAACTTGAAATAGTCTTCCAGTCTCCCACAATGTACGAACGTTCCATGTACCTAAAAGAATGGTTGCTCTGGTTGTCAGAAGAGGCATCGGCCTCGTGACTTCCGAGGGAACTCGGCTTTCATCACGCGACGTCATAATTCTTCCTCCAACTCCCAGGGCAGAGTTAAAATGGTTTGAATTATTTTTTCTGATTAGCGTTTTTTTGGCAAGTTAGTTTTTGACGGAATGGGGTCGCCAACCCCATGTCCAACCCTCCTCCTTTACCCGGGCTTGGGACCGGCAGTAGTTCCGAAGGTTCTACTGGCGGAGTTAGAACTATCTAATCGCCATACTTTAAGTCAACCAGTGAATGTCCTGATAGAATATCCACTTCTGAAAATTCAGACACTGCCACAGAACCTCACGATCGACAGAGTCGAATGCCGTTTTGATGTCGAGAAATACAACTATTGTGGGACGCCTGAAAGTGTGTCTATGTTCTATGACCTGACGTAATGCGAATATATGGTCTATTCATCCACTTCCAGGTTTGGAACCAGCCTGGATTTCTCTAGTCTGCTCTTCACAAGTTCTAGTTGGGCGTCGGAGTATTATTGAAGATAGTATTTTAGAGACTTTACTGGTTAATCTGTGTCCATTGAGCCGCAAACAAATACGCCCTCGTACTAGGGCATTAACTGAATCTAAATAAGTGCTTTAGAATGAGGGGCAGTCTTCTATCGAACCTCTCTTTTGGTGGTTGTCTATTTGCGTTCTATGTTGCGACGACTTGGGGTTCGCCAGGTTAAGAGATGATTTTCCTTTTGCCTTAAGTTAGTGTTTGCTAGAAATAGGCAATTATCTGGGCGTAGTTGCAGCAGACGGTCACCATTATCTAACCTTTGAGCCGCGAAACCATAAGATCCATCCAGATTTCTCTCCTTATTACTTGGTCTACCTACTTGAACATTGAAGTCACCAGCCATTATTACTACATCAGAGTGCCTAACATTTTGTAGGAGGTCCGAAAGCTTTCTGTATAACTCATCTTTAACCTCGTCTGAACTGCAGTCAGTGGGAGCGTAGGCAGATACGACGAAGAAGCAATGGTGAGTGTCCCTATCTTTCCGAGTCCTTACTGACCCGTTCACTCGGACAGCGCACAAATGGCTGTCTACTGGATCCAGTCTAAGAGAGCTAGTTCTGCCCCAGCACTTAATGCTGTACCTGCTCCAGCGAAACTTCGGTAAGCAGCAGCAAGGCTACTAGATATACGAAGAGTAAATCAGGCTGATTTTTTATTTAGACATGGTTAGGTCAAATGAATGACGCTACTCGGATCCTCTATGTGCGTTTCCCTATAGGAACATATGTTCCAGCCAATATATCTCAGTTGGGTCACCACAATTGGCCAGCCCAACCACCACGACATGGTAGCAGCTACAGTCGGGATCCGTGTTCATTGACTTTCGTTTTGCAATAATGCAGTTTAAAACTATCAACCGTTAAATTCTGACGTAGTAGTGAAATGATACTGATTTCTCGACTTGAGTTAATTGCTTTAATTTCAATTCATTATGTGGTTCAAGAGCGCATACTTTTTTCTACTAAGAAATCCCAAACTCGAACTCTGTAACGTTGATTTGGTTCTTGTTTTTATTGGTTACAATAAAAATTATCTTTCATTTAACTAATCCTGAAGGCTACTATTACAATCATCACACAGATAAGTCCATAGAAAAGAAATTTTTCATCAAAGTTTTGCATTTTTACTATTATCCATTAGTGTATCAACATTAATACTCTTCAAATGGAATTGGTAATGACTGATATTGTAGTCATTAAACACCGTAAATTGTTAGTGCGCATTTTCATCGATTCACAGCTCAATAATCCATTTAAGTCCAATCTGATATGACTAAACTGTCATCTAATACTTTTAATAAAAAAAGAGCTGCTTACGTCACTGAAACTGGATATTTCAACTTCATATAGACAATGAAATGTAAAATTCTGTATTTAATTGTTTCAAAATTAAACTGAGATTTTCTGTTACTAATCATATGATGCATTGTTTTATGCATCTAGAAATATAATAATTTGTGGTATGATCAGTGTTAGCTTGGAAACACAATGTTTATGATCGATTCGCAAGAAACTAATACAGTAGCTTGAGTGACAGAAAATCAATACTTATATGTAATCACTATTCTGAACATATGCAAACATCTAACAGCACACTGATCACATGATAGTTTTAATAGTAAAGCGACGACTAAGTTGCGAACTAAACTTTCTACAACTAGTTTGAAAGTTCTAACCCCCAGCTCCACATTTTTTGTTTTGAGTAGCAGAGGAGTATCAATAATCCTCATGTATAGGATGTGCTTCAAATGGTGACATGTATTCATCTTCTTTTTTTTTATCCAAATTTTACTTTTTAATCCTATTTCTTATTTATCACACTTGTTATTTTTATCCTTTTCTATGCTGATGTTTATCGTGGTGATTCGACCTAGTGCATAATTGTGCTGTCGTATATTTTTTTTACTTAATAACTGTAATCAGTGCCCCAATTTTCAAAAATTCTATGCATTCCAAATACACTGCTCCGTAAATCTGATTTGAGTATTTGTATAGCAAATTTGTTAGTAATCGTTTTTAAAGATATTACTCAACATCAAATCGTTATTTATTGTAAGTAAACAATCACTTCACTGATTACGTAACTTTTTTTCATGAGATTCCTTTGGCCTTCAACTACTGATACACGTTAATTATCAAGGTAATTATTAAGCTTAACGTTGATAAAATAGTAGCCAATTTACTTTTTAGTGGATTTTGAAGTTCAAGTTCTCCTCAGGTTAATAGTATTGCATTTCGTTCTGCATACTTTCCATGTTGATACATACACATCTCTCATCTATCACTGTTTCATGCCTTTTCTATTATTCAAGTCATTTTTATTTTAAAAAAGTTCAGCAAAAAAATTGCCATTTAAATATCACCCACACTTCTACTATTGATGATTATGATTCTCATATATTTCAGGTCACCATTATTTCATTCATTTATCAAATGTTGTTTAATCAAAGCAGAACGACGAAGACCTGATGCTGCTACAATGCTTACGGTAGGTTACATATACTTTAAGTTTTATTTCACTTATTGACGTAGAAGTGATTATTTTGTAATGATTATTTCTATCCTTGTTTATTTAGTTATTGACTGACAAGTCAACCTATTACCATGCTATCTACTTCTTTTGTTAAATGTTTTATTTACAAGTATTATCTGTGATTTCTTAATAACTGTCCATAGACTGAGTAAATAAAGTAGTAATTTCATCATCATCACCGTAACTAGCTGTAGTTTGATGGTCAGTCAAGTGAGCAACTTTCAGTTTGATCATCTTAATTTTTCAATTTAGCAGTTTATTGACTGTCATGTTCGTTATAAAGCCTGATAGTTCCGAGTTTGTTTTTGAGAGAATTGACAATTATGAATATTCGTGAGACTCCTGGATATTAGAAAAAAACATACGTCCATTCTGTTGTAAATATTTATTTGATTAATATCGAAATTTTATAATGATCACTTTAAAATCTATCAAATTTTCTCAACTCATTGACTTGAATAATAATTTTTTGTTTGAATTGTAGCATAACTTTATTACAAATCCACATTTGTCTACTTTATTAACTCAACGTCTGCTGTGTTATCGAAGACAATTAGAATCTTCAACCAAAAATACTTATTCTCATGGAGATACAGAAATATCTATATCAAGTAAAAAGAATCCTCCATCTGGAATTAATTTTATTTCTCCTAAGAATCATGAACCTCCAATACCAAATTCTGTTATGCCTACTCCAGTTCAGCAAGATGAATTTACCAAATCTCCTCCAGTTAATGATCTCTCCGTTGTTTGTGGAATTGGTGCCAGTGGTCCTGTGCATCATGTCTCATCGCAACAATTTATTCTTGAACGGAAACCGGAACAATTTCCAAGTGTACAAATCCAAAACAGTTTATCTTGCTCTGATCTAGCCGACGTAAGTTCACTATCTTTTTATATGTTTTAAGTTAGTTTGGTGATCCTTAAATACCAGTTCTCAACATTGTTAATGTAGTTATAAGTGAAGACAAGATAGAATAGTAGTATATTCAGAGAAGACATACTTTATTGCTTAAACGTTATCTTCATACTTTCATTTGCAAAACAAACAGATTACTGACTATCATCTTTCACATGTGTTGTATTTTTCAAAACACTGATCGCGCCACGCATTTGAGTAGTAATTTTCAGGCATTACTCCGCTACATACAGCTTAGGAACCATGTTGCGAGTTGTATCCACCGCACTAGTAGCAACTTCAAATGACCAAATAATATACTGTTCATAAAACTCTATGCAGTATTATTTCATATACAGATACACCAGAGTATTGATGTTTGGTATTATACAGACTGGCTTCAAGCAACCCTTGTGTATCATTTTGGAGGCATTCACCGCCTTTTTGATACTAGAATGTGAGTTCTCGTATTTACAATATTTTAGCAAAAAAATTGATGTAATATCGAAATTTTCACTATGAGTAAGTTTGTGAATAACCGAAAATAGTTCCTTTTGACTGTGGTATAATTTTCCTCGGATATTATGGAATTCCCCAACTTATTTGTATTAACAGTAAATAATAAAAGAATTTAATGTATGCAGTTTGACAACTGCCAACAAAGCCTCGAAGTTCCGACTCGATCAGTTTATGTTCTTCTAGTTTTAATTTATGCCGTGTTAAAAATACTTCTGCTTACATACCGTCACTGTTCTATCTAAACGAATATGCCGTTACTGTTACTAAACGTGTCGAATCATGCATAGTTTATTTATGTATCAACTGAGTAGCTTGATCAGTTCATGATGTGGTACTGGTCAGTTCCAAGCACATAATTATGTTATAGTTTTTCATCGTCGTTAAATATTAGTTTGCAAAAAAAACTTTTCGAAAACGTAGTTTTCCAAATTTCCGTTTCTTCTTTTAGCACTTTTGTATACAGTAGTAGTCGACCTTCAGTCGCGTTGGACTTTTGTACTTCAGGCTTACTTTCTGTATCGATTTATACAGCTCTCTATTTTATCATAACCAAACAGAGTATTAGAGCAGGAAGATGATGAGATAAATTCTTTTAGAAAAAACTTTCACTTTGAGTTTTAGAAACAAGCATACGTTATGCTACTTGTATAGAACTTACTTATCGGTGCTGTCTTTGTTTATTATCGTGATCTGTGATTGTGGTAAACTAAGTAACACGGTTTCATATAATTTTCAACGGGAGAGTTGCATCCATTCTTCGTCTTTCCTTTAGATTCTAAGTTTTTCTATTCAGACCATTGAAACTCTGCTTTGGGACTTATAAGGTCTTCATTTATAAGTTATGACGTTTCATGATGAAAGCCGATTTCCTTTGGAATTCATGAGGCCAATGCCCCCTCTGACAACCAGAGCCCTTCAACCGTGTGGGCAGCTGGGAAGTAACATCCACCCTCATACCCATAAAAGCACACGAGACCAAATCGGTCAGAATCAAATCCTTTCTACACCTCCTGATAACTCTCTTATCTTCACGGCCAACCCTTCTTTCGATCGTTTATCACCTCGCGCCGCTGACCTTACTATTTAATTACGTCTTGTGCATTGTTTTCAACTTAATTCGTATACGGTCTGTGTAAATTTTTTGTCACTACTGTCGATGTTGTCATTTTTATTCTTTGACTGTTTATTTTGTGAATTGTGGTTAATTGAGATGATATGTACATATACGCCACACACTTAAAATGAGGTTATGGGAAAAGAAAAGTGAGTATAATAAAAATAAAAGAAAAATATATAGAAATTTCCCCTCCTTGTGCTAAGTACATGAATATGCACAATGTTCCCGATTGGTTTCATTTTTTTTTTGTTTGAAAATATATAATTTCACCTTAAACGATCAGTCATTGTTTGAACTTTCTTTTTCTGTCTTTCTATACAAGTGGAATCAATACTATTTCAATCTTATTTCACTTTAAGTAGTGTCAGTGTAGAATAAAAACAAAACCACATTGATTAAAAATACATAAATCTGAATTTAAATACATTTGAAAATATAGTTTCATATAATCTATCCATCCTATGTTGATATCAACTTATCTGTACACTAGTTACATCAATCAATTACAACTCAGTATATTTTATCTTTAATACTTAGTCAAGTTTATACATTCTCTAATGATTTTAATGTTGTTGAATGTAACAAATAACTTAATTAATTTTCGAAACTTAATAAACTATTTCTATATATATATATATATCGTTTTTGTAAGGGAGAAAAAATTATTACGTTTTTACATTTCTACATTAACCGTATTTTAAACAACTTCACAACTATGTTATCAAGAGAATTAATGTGACCGCAAAATGAATTTCATTGATTAACATTCTAAATGGTGCAATGCATCTAATCAAATTGATGTCTATCAATTTTCATTTTATTCACTACCAATGAATTGGTTATTGTAAGCATAAATAGCAGTACTAATATATAGCAGACGTTTTTAACACTATCACCCGTGTACCAATAACAATAATCACTTGGGTTTGATTTATCTACTCTAACATGCCCTTTATCATCGTTTTCCTTCTTTTTCAATTATTGATTTATTGTTTTAGTTGATTCTTAATTCAATCCATTGTTTATGCCTTATCTTTTCTCCACATACTAATCCAAATTATTATTTATCATTAGATTAAGGGGCAATTCTAATTTAAAATTGTTTAAAAAAGAAACAACAACAAAAGTAATAATTAGATATATATCGCACAGTAAATGTACAAATTGAAGCTTATTAATGATTACTTATCTTTTTAACAGTATAAACTATACTCTTTGTCGGTTAAACTCACACTTATGTAAGTTCACGTTAATATGGAGAAAGGGTCTAACGCATGACTTTTTTACTCAGTAACAGGCCATCAGTTTTGAAATCCTTCTCATGTATTTCTGCCCAAATAATTAACAATGATATCGTTAGTCTCTAGATAAACAGCATACCTCGAAGCTAAGTAGGCCAATACTATGCATAATAAGTTACATTATGATGTGAGGTTAATTTATATCGATATACACGTGCTTTGCTTAAATTATGACTGAATCACTTTGTAATAATAGTAGGAATCGGTCAAACCGAATAATTTTACTGATTGAAATTCATGGGTTTTTGTTCATTTATAGTCAAGTCAAGACAGATATGAAATGAAAAGCCGTCTACTTACACTCACACTTTTTCACATATTACAATAATATGAAGGGTAGATAAGGTGTGTAATTTAGTTTTTATTAATATTTCTTTTTTTTTCTCGTAATCCATCTAACTTTCACTTATAGCTGAAAAATGTAAAGGATTATTGATTATAATCTTATCCCTGTAATTCATTTGGAATTTCTTAAATAACATTCATTGATATATAAATGATTATTTTAACTCTCTAATGGTGTATATTTATTTATCCATACAGTTAATTCATTTAACTCAATTTTTCTAAAATCGATTCACAATTACAATTATTATTATTATGATTTTTTGAATAACCGTTCCGTGTAAAAATGATCATTTTTAATCATGTTTTAATCATTTCAACTTTCTTTATAACTCATCTCTTAGCATTTTCTCTGCTCTATTTGTTCTCTTTAATTCTGTAAGCTCTAATTTTTCCATTTTAACACTATAGGATCGTACAAAGAATTGTAATGAGATTGCAGAATCTACAGATATGAACTACATTTCACAAGGAAGAGAAATCATTATAAATAATAATGATAATTTAATTAAAAAAGGCTATGCACCAGATACGACAGTTACAGCGAATGGATTTATAAACTATTCACAATCGGATTTATCATCTCAGTCTCATAATGCACAACAACAAACTGTGATTCGACCTTTGTTACCAGTGAAGTCCCCTAGGCGCTCATCACTGCTTAGTAATGATAATAATCAGTCTGTAGACTTAACAAATTCATTCAATCAATATAATAATATGACTACTTTTATCTCTTCTATTGGCTCTACTGATATTAATGAAAATAATAATAGTAATAATAATGATAATAATAAATCATTCAGTTCCACTATTACTACTACTATTAATAATGATAAGCAAAAACCTAGTCGTCCTTGTTCGCCCATAAAACGAATTAATCCGTCACGTATATCAAATATAAAGAGTGCTGGTGAAATATCTGAAGAAACGAGTTGTTTAACTGAAAATCATCTATTTGATCGTTTATTACATATCAGCTCAGAGGCAAGTGCCTATTTTGTTTTACGTTCTGTTAATTGTAGAAGTATCGATTTATTACTCCCACTTTCAACACAAAATTATAAACTCTTGACTATTGAATTCTAAACGCATGCATATTTGACTGCACAGCTATGATATTTTTTTACTCGATTGTTTAAATGTATATCAAAGCAACCCTTTTGAAAGTTTCTAATTATTTAAATTTATCTGTCTTTAAAAAAAAATGATATTCATAAATTTATGTTAAACGGATTCTGAGCTTGCCTGTGTCAATATAATTCGGTGTGTTTGTCCAGTGCTAGTGTACATATTCTTTAGCTTAATAGTTCTAAAATTTAAATTGGTTTCAGTGGTTCATGTACACGACTTTTCATCAGTACGTGTCATGGTCCTTTCACATGAATGCCTTGCACTTATTCACTTTCTCTTATAGTATTATCAGTTTTCTCAGTGAAAGTTACTTTAAAAGGAGTTATAATCCATATATATATATATATATGTCATGACTAACAATAACACACTAACCAAACTCATCCACACTGAAACTTATAATCATTCCTAATATTTCCATTTTTCGTTTTTTTTAATATTGAGAAAAATAGTTCAAGATATTTGGTGATTTTATGCTCGAATTGTGCATGCCTTTTTTTTTAATTTTTATAGATTAATTTAATTTTTAATTGGAAAAATGCAGTTTAACTTTTTGTTTCCGAATAATACAATGTGGATAAAATATTTAATTTAATAGGTTATACAATTTTTTGATATAGGTATATTGTTTCTTTGTCTTTCTATATTGAAAACTACTATTTATTGTAAATTCTTTTTCTCAATGTATAGGATTTACTTCGTGAGGTAATGGATGCATTTGACAAACGTCGTAGTGGTGTTGATTTTCATTCATCTCAATCTGTTGATGGGTAAGTGAACTAACGTTGAAGGTGTATAAAACGGAAACAAAACTTTTGTCTTAAGAACTACTAGTCATGTTAATTTTTTCAGTTAATCAATAGTTCTTGACATTAGTCAATAATATTCGATAAAGATAACTTTCAATCTTAAATTAACTGAAGCTGAAATTACTCAGTTTCGACTCATCAATCTAGAGGATATCGTTCTCTCTCCAAGATATACATATTTTGGGTTCTATTCTGCATTTTATTGTGGTATTTCAAACTGAAACCAAACAGCTGTTAGATGTCCCCTGGTTTTCTAGTTAACATAAATTCATGATGAAAATCAACAACCTTGGAAATAGGTTTCTGCAACAAACTCTAGAAAACATCACTTTAGTTACCTGCATATATATATATATATATATATATATATATATATATATATAACTGATTGTTTAATTACAATTTCATTTTAAATCCATTCCTGACGTGAAGTTACCTTCTGTAGGTGATAATAAATGAGGATTGCTCTTTGAAAAGTTCCGTTATTACAAAAATAATAAGGGTTTTATTCTCTCATCTCAAAGAACTGAGTACAAATTGCCGAAATTCTAACTACTTTTTTTCTGTGTCAATTTAATTTTCAGTTTGAACATAAGTCGAATGGACGATGAGATCAAATCGCATGTGAGTTTATCACTTACTTTAGTTAGGAACATATAAGCTAATTATTACAATAATTATTACTATACGATGCATTGCTCTTTTGAACCTTGCTCCACCTAATTCTGTTCGGATAGTCAAATGAGTCCCAGGTTTCAGCTCCACTAAACAGGCAAGTAATGTCACAATGTTTCATAAAGAAGATATAACTTAAAGTTAAGTATATAAGCCTTTATTAATTTGGTGACACTTTATTCTGTTATTGCTGTTGGTATCTGGCTAACGGGTCCCCATTATCTTGCGTGGACAACTGTTTTTAAATGGTGATTTTGGTAATTCTCTATGTTTTAGTTTCATGAAATGGAACTCTTGACGTTTGTGTCGAAGATCCTGACTTTCGTGTTAGCGAAAAATTGTTTTGAGTCTTAGATATTTTTCAGTTGTTGAGATGCTGTCATTGTTTTACTAATCCATTAATGCACTAACTACATTCTATCATTTACTATTTTTTTACGCATAACTCTAATTGGAAAATCGTAAAACGTGCTTGCTATAGTGACTAGCTTCGCGAGGGAATCCTTGGAGTTCTTGTGAGAAGACGTGACCAGTGTAGTTCAACCCTGACGGGTGTCCACAGCAACTACTAACACAAAATGGGTGAGGTCACGCTAAATCCCTTGATCGATCAGAGCTAGACATTAACACCGTTTGATGCTAGCACAGTGGTCCAGAGGTTAGGCGTTCGTTCGCAAGACCGGAGGTATTGGGTTCGAATCCTGCGAGGTGCAAGAGTCGTGGGTGCGCACTGCTGATGAGTCCCATACCAGGACGAAACGGCCATCCAGTGCTTCCAGTTTTCTAATGTTGGTCTAACAATGGTTTATTGATGATTTCAAAGAAGTAAAAACAATAATCTCCATAACTCTAATTGAAAAATATTTACTGTTTGTAAAAGAACAGAATTTTACTATATTATTGATATTTTACATTCAAATTTTATTGTTTTCTGTTAATTAAAGAGTGAATCACAAAATGAAATTACGATAAAACAACCGGTGATTATTCCGGTACCACGTTCAAAACGACGCGCACCTCCACCACCACCATTACAGTCATCATCATCAACTGATACTAATACTACGACGACCAATACTAATACTACTGCTACCATTACTATTAGCAATGATAATATAATGTATTCATCATTAGATCAAATGATCAATTTGTCCACTTTAGATATTGGTAATGAAATAAAAACTGACAATTTACTTATTAATGGTATTTCTGCTCCATCACATGAAAATCATGTTGAAGAGACATCCAATGAGATAACATTAAATTATCATATTAAAATAATTCGAGAAGATTCTATGATTAGTAATACTGATGATAATGATATTGATGATGATAATGATAATGAAAGTAGAAAATATAGTAGTTCTGTTAGTATAAATCACAATGGTCAATTATCTTCTTCTACTTCTTCTGCTAAAAATGATAATGATAAAACATTAACACCAGCTCCACCAAGACCACCACCACCTAAATTAAATAATAATCATACTGGTGTAACTTCTTTGCCAACACCTCTTCGAAAAAATAAACAAAATGATGATGCATCAAAGCATATATCACGTCAACATCAATTAGAAACGGGTATTGGTCTTCCTCCTACACCAAAAGTTCATGTAAATTATTATTATCATTATTATCATTTATGATTATGTATAGCTTTTTTTAAAAAAAAAAGAGTGAAATATGAAAGAGAACAAAGAAAAAGTGCAATGCATAGTTTTGTTTGTTTGTTTGTTTATTTTTGAATTTATAAACAAAATCATACTTGTAAACAAAACAATAAGAAAAAATTATCAACAAAATAAAATAATCCTAAAATAAAAAAAAATTTATGTTTAATTGAACATTTTTTAACAGTGATTATTTATTATTTTCAAGTTTATATGAAAGATTATTCAAAAAAAAAATTCTTTCTAAATCAAATTAACATAATCTCATTTGACATACTAAATATTACTAAATAATTCACAAACAAATATTTCAGCAATAGTTTTGTCCGCTTGAAATCTATTTAGCTGAAATTTTAGTACTAATTAGATTAGTTTTATAAATAGTACCTTAATCATTTCACCTTTCAACTAATAATGATACAGAAACTTTAGATAGTAATAATAATAATGAACTATAAATGATTAATTCAATACCACTGTTGTATATTAGCAAAATAAATGGGACAACCGTATAAGCAATGCTGTCGTTAGGAAACGAGTACGAGGTAGGGATGGCAGATCAATAGATGAAGTAGTGAAACTTCATCAGTTGAGGTGGTTGGGACATGTGTTGCGTATGCCTAACCACCGACTGCCGCGACGAGCTATGTTTTGTAGTGTAGGAGTAGTTTGGAAGAAATCTAGGGGCGGCCAAACGAAAGCAATGCAGAAATTCATGAATTCACTGACAAGTGTACTGAGTCATGCTAGTAGGTGTAGACCACCAGGTTGGGGTCCGCGAGACAAACGTCACCGACTGTTAGAGACCATGAACGACATGGCTCAAAATCGTTTGCGACGGCACAGGTGCCTTTATTCATTGTGTTCTCTTTCTAAAGTTATCTCACTGAATCATATCTTCGAATCCTAATCTTCTCCATTACTGCTGATACTTCTATCATCTCTACCACTATTGGATTTGAATAGGCAGTTGCGTCTCTGTGTTGATGCGGTATTGCAACCTGAACTGATGTACTTATGTACGAAGTTCTGCGTTGTAACTCATTGACTGAACAAAAATTACCTACTATCATTCATGAGTAATTTTTTTTCTAGTTAAAGCATGTAAACACATCATTTCTGTTTCTTGTTCAGTTTGAGAAATCTGAATTACTTACCAGTTTTTCCGGTATTATATACTTTTTCCATCTGTAGATGGGTGCTTGTTTTATGCAAATATTTGAAGGTTGCCCATTAAAAGTGAATTCCACTGCAACATGGGTCAATCCAGAAACTTTAAGTAAGTATTTTATTTTTTTATATGATGTTTGTAATGTGAAATACATCTTCCCATTTTGATGACAATAATCTCATGAACGTTTGCACATAGCATTATAAAACGTATGATTAACTGATTTTAGTACATCATGCAACTTGATTTGAGTGAACACTGAAATTAGATACCATTATATGCAAAATTTTATTATTTATGAATCTCCTGCTCTTCCACATGATATGCATTTTTATATGAAAATCGTGAATAGCAATGACAAGTAGATAGGATTGTATAAACTTTACACATGCTGAACCGTGAAGTATTATTTTGTTCCATTCAACTTAACAGTCACATAACACTCATGTTGTAATTCTACGTTGTTTAGGTACGCCATATCGTAAAGTATAGTCCTATTTAAGAAATGTCTCCTTTCATTATAAATAGCTACATTTTATTAGAAACACAATACAGTTGTGTGATTACTTCCCTTACATCAATCCTATCACAGTTTTTTATCCATTGTTATTTTGTCTTAATTTGTAGCTGATTGCCTGCATATAACTCCGACATACATAGTTCACGTACTTTTTCTTATCTCCATAAATTTAAGTTATATCACTCTGACGGGAAATTGCTTACTTACTTATGCTTCTTGACGCAGTATGTTCTTTGGCTTTCCTCTTTTCCTTTGGCCTCGAGGGTCCTAAGTTAAGGCCTGCCTCGTGACACAGTTGTCTGTTCCCTGCCACATTAGGTTTTTGCAGGTGGTATATATATATATATATATATATATATTCTGTAAGCATAATTATATAAATATCAGAATAAGCTTTTTTTCTCGTTAATGACAAATAAATTTTTGTAATTAATACTAGGCATTTTGAATACACAAAATTTGTTTTCAACATAGCAAAAAGAGATTCTTTTCAAAATCACCATATAAAAGCCGCCAGATAAAAATGTGCGTAATTTTAATGAATATTTTGTTCATTGCAATTTTTATGCAATGAATCAATTTTATTGATGATAATAATAATAATAATAATAATAATAATAATAATCAGTAGATGGATAAAGAAATCCTTGGAATTCACTTCACATGTTTGCACTTACGTGTGTGTGTGTGTGTTTTTCTATATGTGTGTATGCGAATTTATATGCTAACAGTAAATTTCCATCGGATAATCATGATAGTATTATTATTATTATTATTACAGGTTAAATAAATTATTTAATGTGCATAGTTATGAAATAGTTATCAATGCATTTAATCAACTTAAGTAATGATGATTATATTCCTAAGAGGTATGGTATAGTTAGTAGTTTGTTATTACTAGAATGATTATGAAATTTACAAAAATAATTAACTAAAACTACTACATTGATTGAAATAGTTTGACGTTAAGATATTAGAATGAGTAGTTCAGTCCTACCTTATTGTTATGACCAGTTGCACCATAAATTAAGATCACCTAAAGAACTACCGAAACGAGGAATTCCTTGTTAACCAATTCGCTTACATTCTTGGGCAGAGTCTATGTGGTGTTTGAATGAACTAGTGACTTCTAGGTTGTTGTTGAATGCTTGATTTCGAATTCTAAATACAGTACAGTCGTTCGTGCTTATCTAGTAGTTCTTGATCCACTTACATATTTCTGGGATTATTAGTTTATCCTAAAATTCAAATACTTCTAATTGTCATATTAAGGTTGCACCAACAAACAGTCTGAAGTATTAACAGGTTTATCTTGTAATGACTGTCGAGAAATGTAGTCAACATGTTGAATTTGTTTGGCACTCCTGTGCTGAACCGTATAGTCGTAGGCACTCAAAGCAATACTCCATCGTTGAACAATAGCAGCTGAAGCACGTGCTAAGGATTTTTCAGGATGATAAATAAACTGTAAAGCCTCATGATCAGTAACAATAGTGAATTTCTTTCCGAATAAATATTTATGAAGTCTTTTAACAGCCCAAAACACAGCTAATGCCTCTCGCTGAGTCTGTGAATAGCCTTGTTCAGTAACAGTACGTTTGCGTGAAACACAAATAACTGGTCTACCTTCCTGTTCCAAAACTGCGCCAATACCCACAGGTGATGCATCAGTGATAAGCGCAGACTGTACACTAAGGGAGTAAGTTCGAAGAACAGCATCACTTTGAAGAAACTTTAGTAGACTACATAAGCATGACTCTTGTTCCTCACCCCATTTGAATGAATTGGATGTCAAAATATTAAATAAACAATTTGCACGGCAAGAAAAATTAGGAAAAAAACGGGAATAGTATTGAAGAGTACCCACTAGTGAACGTAGTTCCGTAAGATTTTTTGGAGACGGTGCATTTGTCAGTGGAGCTAGTCGTTTCATATCTGGTCTAAAACCATTACCATCAACTAGGTATCCAAGACATTCAAAACTAGATACACAAAATGAACACTTATTTGGATTTACTGTAATATTCTTCTCAATTAAACGACGCAATAAGGCAATAAGTCTCTGGTCATGAACTCCCTTATCAGCACCATAAACAATGAGATCATCTTGATAAACTTCAACACCTTCAAGATCATTAACCACCTTATTCATAACTTCGTGGAATATGGCTGGAGAACAACTTAGCCCAAATGGAAGGAAATTGTATTTAAACATACCAAAAGCAGTGTTAATTGTCGTCAAAGTAGATGAGGATTGATCTAAAGGGATTTGAAGATAAGCATCTTTTAGGTCGACTTTCGAGAACACTTAAGGACCATGAAGTCGATTTAGAATATCTTCAGCCTCTACCATCGTGCATGTTTGCTTCAACCAACAGGAGTTCAATGTTAGTCTATAGTCACCACATATTCTAAGAGTCTTGCCATCCGATTTCAGTGGCGTAACAATAGGAGTACCCCATGCAGAAGACTGAACCGGTTCAATTATGCCTTTTGCACACAAATCATTCAATGTCTTATGCACTGCATCTCGAAGACCATAAGGAATTATTCGTCTTTTGAGAAAAACTGGATCACCCTGTACTTGAAGTTTTATAAGCTGAATTTTCATACCTCCACTGCACTTAGCACACGTAGCTATCAAATCTTTAAGTAAAGCATCAGAATTTTCTTTAGAAACTAGGAAAGACAACTCCACTTTAAGCCTTTTCTAATTCCTTAAACCCAGTATTGACAGTCCTGTTTCGCTAACTAAAAATTCACAAGGTATGTATAAGGAATTATCATCTCTTATTAGCAATTCACAACATCCTCGTATAAGCAGTCTGTGTCCAGTAATCCCCAATATTGGTACTTCAGTGGGTCGTACCACAACGTTAGGATCTAACGATTTCAAGTTCTTGAATGAAATAACGGACTCTATACTGCCTGTGTCCACAATAAAGTCATGACATGAACCAAATGATGTATATAATCGCTTTTGAATATGAGCATTACCTTTCGAAATGGTAGACAAAGATAAATGATCATTAGGATCAGCTGAATTATTGGGATCTTAATTACAAGATTTAGTACTACTTGAGGCAAAATGAACAGTAGCTTTGCATACTGTTTGAATGTGTCCTATCTTACCACATCTAAAACATTTAGCATTACGAAATGCACATGAATTACGAGAATGAAGTTTTCCACATGATAAACATTTGCCAAACTTGGTCTCACCTTTGTGATTTCCTTTGTAATTCTTTATTGAAACACCGTTCATATTTAAACGAGAATAGGAACCACTGTTAAACGAACACAATTTTGATTGACCCTGAGATTGACAACTAATCAAAGTATTGGAAATCTTCATCGGCTGAGTATCAAGTTCATTCAACGCCTCGTAGTTAATACACTCAGTTCTAACATCTTGAAAGGAACAGTTCGACATTCTTAACGTCTCTCTTTCCAAACCCGGCATGTTAATTCCTGCGATTAATCGGTCTCTCAGTTGCACATGAAGTTGATCACCGAAATTACATTTGACAGCTTGTTTCTGCAATTCAAGAATGAATTCCTTAACCTTTTGGTCATTTTGACGAGTCATCTTATGAAATTTCGCCCTTTCACGGCATTCAAAACTAGTGCACTTTACATGATTTAATAATAACTCCTTAAGCGTTGCATAGGGAAGTGAGATAGGTTTTTCCGGATATGTCAAAGTTTTTAATAAGCTGTACCCCTCTCTTCCGACGAATGTCAGGAAATGTGCCACAATCTTATCATCTTTACCATCTTTCTTGGTCATGCTCCAGATTTCAAACCTTTCCAAATAATCTTCAAAAGCTTCAGAAGTTGAATGAATATCTAGCTGTTCCATCACAAGCTCCATCGCGACGCCAATATGATAATCAGATGTATTTGAATTTTAGGATAAACTAATAATCCCAGAAATATGTAAGTGGATCAAGAACTACTAGATAAGCACGAACGACTGTACTGTATTTAGAATTCGAAATCAAGCATTCAACAACAACCAAGAAGTCACTAGTTCATTCAAACACCACAGTCTATCAATAAACTCACTCCGCATAATTAATCCTCACAACTAAAAGTTTTAGAGATGTGAATTGTAATATCTCAGAACAAAAAGTTTCGACAGATTCTTAGTTTTTGAATTTATTGATCTTATTGAATTTTAAACTCTCAAACCGCAAACTTATCCACACACAATTCTAAGTCCATATGGACACGCATTTTTGGCTAATGTACTACAATAGACTTCACAGTTCCTTGACTTCTTCTCGGGGACTTATAAACCATAATTCTTTTGATATTTGCTTGTCCCTAAGGTGTTTGTTGAATAACTTACCTCTTAATTGTTATTAAGTAATCTAGATTTCAGTTATTACTAAACACTATTTAGTTATTAGTTACAGATTTTTGTATTCGGATGTAGGCTAAAGTGAGTCGAGTTGGACTTGGAATCTGCTATGAAATTCACCTCTTCTTTTGGTCAGATTTTACGACCATTTCCCTAGTTTAGACCTATATCTATGTCAGTAAGTCATCACCAATCATTAGACTATATAACTCATGTACAAAG